GGGGGTGTACCCCAGCCATGTGCCTTATGCTGCCTGGGACAGACTGCAGGCCAACTATGACCCTGCCCTGGATCAGCATTTAGAGGTGCATGGATCAAATATCAAACTTATTTAATCTTTAATAACAAGATTTACATAGGTATAACTACAGAACTGATTCCCATGTGCTTAGGTTCTGCAGTAATAAGCTTATTTTTTTAAATTAATTTTACTTTAAAAAATTTTTACATTAGGTTATCAGAATTATCTGTATTTTTCACACTTTCTCTTAAATTATCCTTATCATTTAGCTGCTATTTTACAAGCCACAGAAAAACAGTTGGATTATTTACTGCATATTAATTTAATAACTGTTCACTTTCTAATGTGTAAAAATAAAGTTTTAACTGTAAGCTGTCGAATGCTTTGGCAAATCTTACCTTGGCCCTGTAGAGGAACCCTGTCACAATGGAAGGGGCTCTGTAATATATACTCACGGTTTGGCAGAAACATATTACCCATCATGCCATGCGGCACTCTCTGGGACTGTGGCTTTCCTCACTGGCTTTAATTAACCAATGAAAACATCAGATGTCCAGACACTTGCGCTTCACCTCTGAGGTCTTGTATGTACAGTATGTCAAACATGGTATTGTCTTTAATCCACAGTGCATCTGACCGTCTTTTAGCTGATGTAATGACTGTTCCACAGGACAGTGGACATACATACAAAAGTAAATACACTGTGACTGTCTGCTGATTTTAGCTGTGTATAGATGAAGTGAATAAGGAAAATAGATGAATTTTACAACCTGAACTTGAATTTTTATTACCACATATGCAACATAAATTCAAGTTCAGGTAATAAATTCAAATTCGGTTTCTTTAATTCAAGTTCTGGTAACGTTATTCAAGTTCAGATTCTTTAATTCAAGTTCTGGTTAACTCATTCAGATTCGGGTAAGTAAATGCAAATTCGGGTTGTGGTGAGTCTGATTTGACCCCATAGTTGTTGAAGATGGTGGCACAGTCCTCAGTCCATTCAAAGGCCTGTCCCTTTTAGGTGAGGTGGTGGAGCGGTTTAGCAGTACCGGCAAAGTATTTTATGAGTTGTTGGCAATTTAAGGTAAGACCCAGGAAGCCGCGGCACTTCATGGTTTGGGCCATTTCCCACCTTGATCTTTCTGGAGTCTGCCACCACGCCCTCACTGCTCACTGTATGACATGGGAAGTTTGTCTGTCACCAAAGGAGGGAGGAATTCTACGGGTTGAGGCATAGGGCCGTTTTGTGAATGGCAGTGAAGAGAGTGCATCAACCTCTGGAACATGCTAGGGGCATTGCAGAGACTGAAAGGCATGACCCAGAAGTGCCATAGACCCTTACCATTAGTGGAAGCAATCTTGGGTCAGGCATCCAGGGCCAGTTCAACCTGTCACTTCAAGAGTCATTCTAAGAAGCTGAAACATGTTGGCGATGTGATCCAGCATGTCCTTGATCTGATGCAGCAGGTCCTTCCAGGTCACAGTATTGAAACAAAAGCAGTCAACAGAAAAATGCCACAACCCGTCCTTTTTCTTGACCAGGACTACCAATAAACGTAAAGTTTCAGTCAATAAACAAATTTATTGTTGATGAATCTTGCTGAAATACTTTACAGAGTATTATCATTTTGAATGCTTTCCTGAACCATGTGTAAAAGAATGCATAAACGATTGGATTAAAGGTGGAGTTTAAATAGCCAATCCACACCAGCATATCAAACAGCACAGGTGGAGTAGAATAATCAACGATGGGGTCGATGATATTACAGATGAAGAAGGGAGTCCAGCATGAAAGAAAGACGCCCATAACTATGGCCAGGGTCTTGGTGGCTTTTCGCTCCACTTTGCTAGGAGTTGCTTTGCCCTTTTCTGGCCTCGCAGCCTGAGAGACTGAGCTCTGAATGGACCGTGCCTGGTGCTGTGCTACGAGAAAGATCTTTTGATAGATCCCCAGCATAATAAACCCGGGGATGTAGAAAGAAACCGTAGACGACACAGAACTTGAGGTCAAACTTTGAAACAGAGTACAGCCTCCAAAGCAATACACCTTCTCATGATAGAACTCCTCGATGCCCCAGATATTCAGTTCCAGAAATACCATCCCAAATCCAACAAGAGCAGAGAGGGTCCAGCTAATCAAGATCATTAACACTGAGACAGGGGTTGTGATCTTAGTCTGGTAGAGGAGGGGCTGGCAAATGGCATAGTATCGATCGATAGAAATGAATGACAGGTGTAAAATGGATGCAGTGCATAGCATGATGTCCGTGCTGGAGTGGATCTTACAGAGGAAGTTGCCCAAATACCAGCAGGTCTCAACTGAGCGCACCATGCTGGGGGGCATGACCACTGCCCCCAGGAGAAGGTCGGTCACAGCCAGGGAGAGGACCAGGTAATTGGTGGGAGTGTGCAGCTGTTTGAAGTGGGCTATAGCAAAAACGACAAGAAGATTTCCAAACACGGTGAGTAGTATGGCAGCCCCAAAAAAGACATACAGAGGTGCTCGTATGGTGGCTGGATAAACATGCTTAGGACAGGACTTGTTCGAAGACTCGTAGCAAAGGACCATGTTTTCAGCTCGGCTGAAGTTCATCTCCTGCTGCTCCTTATGAAAATAGCAACTGATCTTCCTACAATTGAAAAAAAGCATATTCAATATTACCACAAGCCAGCTGCAAACCACAAAATTACCACCGTGCCAGAAACAAAACCTGCTGAAGAGGAATTCATACCAGGCTATGTGACATATTTGTATATAAATACTGAAGCATACTACATAATGACACATTTTTAAGTGTATTTTACCAAGTGTGATCATTGACTGGATTAAATGAAACAGTTGAATTGGTCGTGCACTCAGCTTCGGAAAAAGCTGTGACTATCAGGGCTGGTGAATCCCATAGGTGACACAGGCGGCCACATAGCAAATCACTGGCAAACCCACCAGCAACCTTCACCATCTCATATAAACTTGGGGGTGGGGGCCAGCCGTGACATTTCTGCTCAGGTTACTCTAACACGCAGGAAAAAGCAACGGCTGCTCTTCATCCATTCAATCACATGGATGTCAGAATTAACTGCTTAAAACTTAACAGTTTACATTTTTTTTTCAGATGAATTTAAAACAATTAAAATACATCCTGATAGACCTGTTGTTAGTCTTACAACCATTTATCTTCCATATATAAAGTTAATAATAATAATAATAATAATAATAGCAGCATAGGTTTAAAGATACTAATGAGTCTCTTACGAGTTGTAAATTTGTAAATGAAACATCAATTTAGTTTTATTATTTTCCTGAAACACCCCTTTAAAGTACTTTAAAAGTTAAAGTTTCTTCTACATTAGGACTTAGAGATAACACAGAACTATGTTCAGAAGAGATCAGGCATCCCTGTGTCTTACCTCAGTCCAACATCTTGATCGGGGACAGATCCCTACAGCAGTGAGGATGGCTATATCTTATGTGCAAGGTTCAGCTGTCTGGCTCTTATGTCACCATGAAACTGTGCATCTTCTCCTGTTAAATCCCAGCTGATGTAGCTTTTCCCAATGGTCAGCAAAGCCCAGGACTGGTCATTAGTCCACCAATAACTCATCAAGGCTTAATTGCACTCAAGTGACCGTTGTTTCCCGGTTGTCCTTTGTCCTGTTTGGTGTCCTACAGCATTAGGAAGCTTTCTTGGCTTGCTGTACTGAGAACTGCAGCCTGTAGTAGCTGCTCTCTTCATTATAGTTAATTTAATCCATATCTAAACATTAACTCATTGTAAACAAGATGTTTCAGGTGAGAAGTGTGTCCATTATAGAAGGGAACTATGCATGATTATGGAAAATACTGCAGTGCTAGAGGTACCTGTGGCTCAGCACAGCATGTTGGACCAATGTCAGCCATGTAAATAGTGTAAATAGTTAGCGCCTATTGTCCTGTCTGTGTGTTTATTGTAATGTCATGTATAGTATCTGCCAGGTATTACTTTAGTGTCAGAAGTGAGATGCAAGAAACGGCAGCACTGGCACTACTGGAGCGGGTCCTCCTGCACATTGCTCTGGCAGCCAGCTCCATCCTGGCAAACCTGCCAGTGGCCCTGGAGTAACAACACAAGAGCAGCGCAGTTTTGTGGCAAGGCCAGCTCAGGACTGCAAGCCTTGGGATGGGAAGTTCGTCCGCTGGTGCTGCGGGAAGAGGGGGCACCGGGCACGGATTCGCCCAGAAGCCCACGCCAAAGCCACTCAGGAGCGCCATGAGCTGGAGGAGCAGTGGCAGTAGCCAGCAGGATCGGGAGAGGTTGGGGGTGACAGCGTGACAACTAGAAGCGTCAGGCCAAGGCAGTGGAGGCAGAGTTACTCAACCACGAGGAGGTGTGTTGCGCTTTGGAGGCCCAGTGTGAGTTCATGGAACAGGGGAGGTGTAGCCTGGAGAAGCTGCAGGAGCAGCTGGCTGAGTAGGAAAGGCTGCGCGAGGCCACCCTAGTCTGGCAGCTAGCAACACGTCCCCACCAAGCCGTGCAAGACAAAGGGCTGGTGCCTGGGGAAACCGGCATTGCCAGAGCCTGCTGGCAGCCCAGCACCCACTAGCTTTGGCAGCAGTACCCAGCTGCTTTGTACTTGCGAGCAGATGGCTAAGGTGGGGGACCAGTTATGGTGGTCGTCACGACTGTTGAACCTAGACGGCAGGGAGGACTTCGGGTCCTGCGAGGGCGGAGGTTCCACCGCTACCTAGAGCACTTATAGCACTTGAAGGGGGTTCCGGGACAGGTAACCCCTGAAGAAGGCGGCAGATTTATGAAGGAGGTATGCATCGGGCAGCGCAGCATGGTGGATCAGTGCTGGCTGTGTTAATAGTTAGGGTCTTTTAGTGTTAGTATGCGTATCTTAATGTCATGTGCTGTAAATCGTGGCGTGTGCATCGACTCTGTGTTGTGGGATTGGTCGGGACAGTCAGCGTGGTGGGGAGTGTGTGTTGGGAGCAGTTGGTGTTTGGTGTTTGTGTTCGGCCCTTTTACTCCTATTCAAGCAAAGGCTACAATGCCTGGGTCTGTCGATTATGATAATACACATACAGTATAGGTAGAATGTGTGTTGTTGGCGTGGTCAGGACAGCCACCATACACATGCCTCCATATAACTTATGTCATGAGCTTGTGGTGATCTAACATTCTTGTGAACCACAAATACATTACTTTTCCCTACTGCCTTTCCTATACAGCAAAGACCCAGGAGCACATGTGTGTTAAGTCATTCTGATGCACAGACATGTACACATATGTGGTGACTAGTTTACTGTCATTATCACCAGCCTTTTCCCAGCATTTAGGCCTGTTCAGGTGACCACATGATGATTAATGCTCTGTAGTCACAGGAAACTTCATGTTATTCAAGTTCAACTGAGGCCGTTGGGGTTCTGATCAATGGGGATAATAGTGACACACACATTGGCCCACGAAGTACTTTTAAAATCAGTTCCTGCTCCTATAATTTATAAATTGTTAATGAACACACTCTTTTGGTGAATCAGTTGTGCTGCTATGGCAGTGTGACTCAGAGGCTGAAAGTGGCACCACATGTGAGCAAGAAACACAGAAATGGTGAGTATGTAAGGGCTGCCTGTCCTGGTGGTCTTCAATCCTGCACGCCGGCAGTGGGGCAGGACCCTGTAACAGCGATTGTTTCTCCACTCCTACAGCGGATCCACAGTGAAATACGGGCCTCATTATTGTAACAGATAGAGGCCTGCTTCGCTGTATCAGAAGAACTGGACCCTCGCACTGCACACACATACAGTGTCTGCACCTGACCCCTCTGATGAAAAAATTACATCACTGGAACCATGTGTGCCACAGCACGTCCACAGTAAGTACAAAGTCCTTTCCATTGTTTATGCTGCCTATTAATTTGTATATTATATTCATAGTGCTTCAGACTGTTTATTCCAAACATTCCAGACTCTGTAACAGTCATGTGGTGTGGAGCAGCTGGTCTGGTGTGAGTAGTGTCTTCCTGGACAGCTGTGTCACACCGGGGGTCGCTGTGCTGGGCAGAGTAGCATATGTCAGTCTCAAATGAGCCCCTGCCCTCTCCCTCTCTGCAGCAGGTAGCTGGTCCCTCATACTGTCAGTTAATCATTGGTGAAGCATAACCAGAGTGGTACGCTTGCTGTTACTCTTTGGATTAAATAGTCTCTTTAGCTCAGCCTAACTGCATGTGTGCCTAGTTGACTCCTTGAAAGCTGCATGTTTGTAATGTGCTACTTCCCTCACTCATTTAAAAAAATGTTAAACACAATGTTTGAAATGTATAACTACAGTCGTATTCTTATTTGTCTCCCTCTTGTGGCCAATTGTGCAAAAGGCACTGCAGTCAGATTCTTTTCAGTGACGTATTTCAAATTACAACGTATAGATAAATGGACAAAAAGCGCACACGCATGCACACACACACACACACACACACACAGGTTTGTAATTATATCTTTGCAGGGACTCTACATTCATTTTTATGGGGTAAACTCTAATCACAACATGATTAGAGTTTAACCCATACCCAGCCCTAACTTTAAGCAGAAGTAACCAAACAAAATACGAGACTTCTGGCATTTTTACTTTTTGATTGCATTCACAGATCTTTGTGGGGGCCTGAAAAATGGTCCCCGCAACATCAAAAAAACAGGTTTTTATTAAATTGTAGGAGACAATTGGTCCCCACTATGTAATATAAAACTAATACACACACACAAACACACACACACACACATATTTCAGGTCCAGAAAGTAATAATTCAGACCAAGATTTAGTTTCAACCAACCAGTTAAGTACTCTGTGACTGTGACTCTTTATGCTCAACTGGTTGGTTGAAACAAAATCCTGGTTTGGATTTGTACTTTATGTATACATCCACCTCTGCAGACACACACCACAAGCTTAAGCAGTAATATACTGACCTTATATTATGTAGCCCAACTGTAGAAAAAAAACTGCCATAACCTGAGTTATAACATTTAATAATAATATATATATATATATATTTTCACATGAATCAAGAAACAGAAACATGTCCCCCTGCCCAGAGGTGCTGGAGGAGCGTGGACACCCTGTCCGATTCAGGGGCACAGCTCAGGACAGGGGCCCTTTAACATGTAATGTGACACGTGAAATTGGACGAGGGCCCCCATTTTGTTAGGGGGTCCAGAATGTCTACATGTGCCTTAATTGTCCCTGCTTGAAGTTGACTTCAGGCCTACATAACTGTGCTTTATAAGTGGCTAGACGATGGATGAATCTACATTGTTGTTTTGATGTACTGAGCAGGATGACATAAAAGGAATATTCCACTAGAAGTTTCTCAGACATGTATTACACACAGGTATATATCTTTAAACTGGTAAACGTTATGTAATGATATTATTGTGTATTTAGAGAAGTCTAACATGGCTGGGTTATCATACAGTAGATGCAGCAAATACCACTATTGAGAACGGGCAAGTCATCATGTCCATCTTGTTAAACACAAAGCGTCCCTCAGCCATTGTCGGCACTTCATGATGATGTAATATGACCCCATTCTCCTGTTCCTGAATCCATAGATACTCA